TACTTGATATTATAGCTAGCGCGGTCTTGTTCGAGTCCTCTAGGTGAGCTAGAGCTAGGAACATTCTAGACCGGCTAACCATCCCCTAACTGTACCCCGAATTGCTGATCAGCCACTAGGATATGTGATTCAAGGGTCCCTTCTCTAGTCTATTTGCTAACATGTGCCTAACAGAGTATGCCTCCGAGCAAACTCTAAGAATATTAACAATGCCCTAGGCTAAGTTTGACTGCTATCTACTGTATATTCCCTTAATATTAATATATATCTTACCCGTTTCCTAAACGAGATGGTATCAAGTCATTTTTGGTCCTTCATTATTCGACATACTATCTCTATCATTGTAGCCTGTCCTATCATCATATGTTACTTGCCTTAGAGGGCATCTTTCTCGACATCTTACATGACAATGACTTGAATGGGAAAGTAATTGGGCTAAGTGATCTGATTGTCGAAAGTACCTCCTCCAGAATCACGCGCCCCCTCATCTATAGGGCCCCGCATTTCCCAAATAGGCAAAAAGATAGGTCACGCTCAAATCAAAATTCCCTTGGCTTGGCCCCAGAAAACATTGTTGTTTGTCACGAAAGGAACTAAATGTTCTAATTGGCCATGGGGATCATAATATTAAGCTTTCAAACCCTAGAAACTTCAATCTACATTTCACAATGGCTCAACCTATCCAATTGACGGCTCCTAGCCAGGTCTCTTATTTAAAACCTACTGGTGAGCATGTAATTCTTCAAAAGCTTGAGTGCAGTGACTGATAATTTGAAAAAGGTCTGTTCATCAACAATGAATTCGTTCCCTCTATCTCCGGCCAAACTCTCTCAACTGTTAACCCTTACGATGAATCCGTGATCGACAGCGTCGCATCTGTTGGCTCAAAAGACATCGACCTCGCTGTAGCCTCTGCCCGAAATGCCTTCAAGTCAGAAGAATGGCAATCACTGGCCGGATATGACCGAGGCTTCCTATTGACTCGCCTCGCGGACCTCTGCCACCGCGACAAGCACATTCTCGCCACAATCGATGCATGGGATAACGGCAAGCCATATGAACAGGCACTCGGCGAGGACCTTGCCGAGGTCATCTCTGTTTTCCGTTATTACGGCGGCTGGCCAGACAAAATCCACGGGCAGACCATCCCGACCAGCGAGGCCAAGTTGGCCTATACTAGACAGGAGCCTATTGGAGTGTGTGGGCAGATTATTCCTTGGAACAATCCCGTTATGGTATGTCACAAAATGGCCCTCCTTGACCGAAGCTGTAGAGGCAACACTAATGCTAAGTAGATGGCAGCATGGAAACTTGGACCTGCTCTCGCGTGTGGTAATACCGTTGTCATCAAAGCTGCCAAACAAACCCCGCTGTCAATCCCCTACCTCGCTTCCTTGATCAAGGAAGCTGTCTTCCCCGCTGGGGTGGTAATTGTTGTCAATGGTCTCGGTGCCACTGCCGGCGCCGCTATGGCATCGCACCTGGACGTGGATAAGATCGCCTTTACCGGCAGCACCAACACAGGAAAAGCCATTATGAAAGCGGCCGCTTCGAACCTGAAGACTATTACACTCGAGACAGGCGGCAAGAGCCCCTTGCTCGTCTTCGAGGATGCCAACCTCGGCCAGGCAGTGAAGTGGTCGCGCGTCGGGATCATGAGCAATATGGGTCAGATCTGCACATCCACCTCGCGCATCTATGTGCAGGAGGGCATCTACGAGACTTTCGTCGAGAAATTCAAGCAGTACACTATTGAGAACTCTATTGTCGGCAATCAATTCGACCCCCAAGTGAACCACAGACCTCAAGTGTCTGCTGCGCAGAAAAGTCGCATTCTGGGGTATCTTGAGACTGCCAAGTGCGAAGGCGCACAGCTTGTTCTTGGAGATGATCAGCCTTCACCCGATGATAAGGGTTATTTCGTCAAACCCATTATCTTCAAGGATAGCAATCGCGATATGACTCCGGTGCGGGAGGAGGTCTTTGGTCCCTTCGTCGTTACCCAGTCTTTCAAGGACCAAAAGGATGCGGTTGAGAAGGCCATTGACACTGAGTATGGACTCGGTGCCGCCTTATTCACCGAGATCATTACCTGTGCTCATAAGGTCGCCGCCTCTATTCAGGCTGGGATGGTTTGGGTATGTACTCGCAGATATAATTGTGTGTGGCGTATGCTGACCCTCAACAAATTAACAGCAGTCAAGATTCCCACTTCGCCATTCCGTTTGGCGGATACAAGCAGAGTGGTATTGGGAGGGAATTGGGTGAATATGCCCTTTCGGCCTACACTCAAGTGAAAGCGCTTCATGGTAAGTATCTTTCCCATAATATTTGCGACCGGCATACTAATATTATTTTAGTAAACTTGGGGACTTGGCTTTGAATATATCGAAGTGACGATTTAGCAAAGCAAGCGGAGACAGTAACAAATAAAGGATACCTTACGCATGACAGGCTAGAGAATAAGCAGTGCAATTATCTCACTAGTAAATTTAGTAAATTTTTGCATATGCTGTACATGAAATGTGCATGAAATGTACCTGGTACCTCGTGAATCTCGTGACTCTTAAACTGCCGTCGGGGGACCTCGGCTGAGGAGGCGGAAAGCTCTTGAACCCCACGTCAGAGAGATCCGGGGATGTACTTTCACCTTTACATTGTCTTTGCTTCTCTTCAAATTTCCTATTTGCATTACCAACCTACCTCATCACCTCACATTTAACCCGCCACATTCCGACCATGTCATTCCTCGGTGGCGCAGAATGCTCTACCGCGGGGAACCCTCTCTCACAATTCACGAAGCACGTCCAGGATGATAAATCACTACAGCGCGACCGGTTGGTCGGCCGGGGACCAGGCATGCAAGAAGGCATGCGCTCACAAAATATGATGGGCGGACAAGACCAGGTGAGCCAGACAGCCCAAACGAACCTCCCCGCAAATGGAAATAGCAACGGAAACTAACCTCGGCGTCGGGAAACTTTTCATCAGATGATGGACGATTTTATGCAACAACCAGGACAACAACTTAACGGGCCCTCACCTCAGCCATTCGCAATGGAGCACATGCGTCGCGAGCTGGATAATTTCCAGACGGGGCCAGCCCGCACTGGATCGCCAGGGTGGGCCGGAGAGTTTGACTCGGGCGAGCAAGCGCGCATGGAAGCCGCGTTCCCAGGCCATATGAACAACGGATCTGGGTTCAGTCCTGCCGAGTTTGCCCGCTTCCAACAGCAGAACCGTATGGGCATGCCGCAGACGTCAAGCCCTGCCGCCGCCAACGCATCGCCTATGATGGCGGGGTACCAGCGGCCGATGGCCATGGGCGGTGGTTATATGGGTGGTATGGGTGGTATGGGGATGATGCGGCCTATGATGGGTGGACAGATGGGGATGCAGCAGGGGCCTATGGAGGGGCAGACACAGGATAAGGGAAAGGGGCGGATGGTGGAGCTCGACGATGAGAACTGGGAGGCGCAGTTTGCTGAGATGGAGACTGCAACGGTTGGCAACGAGGCCAAGACGGACGAGGAGGCTAATGCGGCCATTGAGGCGGAACTGAATGATTTGGACAGGTCAGTGCCCTCCAATGACGCGTTTGAGTCTGTATGGCAACGGGTTCAGGCTGAGACCGCAACGAGCAGGAAACTTGCCGAGGAAGATAACTTTGAAGTCACCGATAACGTGCATGTTGGTGATCTCGGTGACTGGGATGGCTTTGATAGTCTCAACTCTCGGTTCCGGGATCCCCAGCTCGGTGATTACATGTTCGAGGAGGATAATGTCTACCAGGCTGTAGGCAATCCGTTCGAGGAGGGAATGAAGATTATGCGTGATGGAGGTAACCTGTCGCTGGCAGCGCTGGCTTTCGAGGCTGCCGTTCAAAAGGACCCTCAGCACGTGCATGCTTGGACAATGCTGGGCTCTGCGCAGGCGCAGAACGAAAAGGAGTTGCCCGCTATCCGTGCATTGGAACAGGCCTTGAAGGTCGACCCCGGGAATTTAGATGCATTGATGGGATTGGCTGTCTCGTATACAAACGAGGGTTACGACTCAACTGCCTACCGCACACTCGAGCGTTGGCTATCCCACAAGTACCCCACAATCATCGACCCGAAGGAAGTATCCGGTGACTCAGACCTCGGCTTCACAGACCGACAACTCCTCCACGACCGCGTAACAGAACTGTTCATCCAAGCAGCCCAGCTCTCTCCCTCAGGAGCCCAGATGGATCCCGACGTACAAGTCGGACTCGGTGTTCTTTTCTACTGCGCCGAGGAATACGAAAAGGCCGTGGACTGTTTCTCTGCCGCTCTTGCATCCACCGAGTCCGGCAGCACCAACCAACAAGAGCAGCTCCACCTCCTGTGGAACCGACTCGGCGCGACCCTCGCCAACTCCGGCCGCTCCGAAGAAGCTATCGAAGCCTACGAGCAAGCCCTCAACATCAACCCCAATTTCGTACGTGCCCGCTACAACCTAGGCGTATCCTGCATCAACATCGGCTGCTACCCAGAGGCCGCACAGCACCTATTGGGCGCGCTATCCATGCACCGCGTTGTGGAACAGGAAGGCCGCGAGCGTGCACGTGAGATCATTGGTGACGGGGCGCATCCGGATGGTCTGGATGACGAACGCCTCGAGCGTATGCTGCACATCAGCCAGAACCAGAGCACAAATCTGTATGACACGCTGCGTCGGGTGTTCAGTCAAATGGGCCGTCGTGACTTGGCTGACCAGGTTGTCGCCGGTATGGACGTGAACATCTTCCGGAAGGAGTTTGAATTCTAGGTTATTGTCGTTGATTTGTTACGTACATGCAAAGGTATTGGACATATCTTTAGGATTTCTGGCTGGCAAGGCCTGGCTGCATTGTATCTACATTTTATCATTTTGATGGCTGCTTAGATGGGATCTACAAGCCATAGAGGAAATAGAACTTCCTCATATATATATTATATGAACGCATTTCTTATCTATTTAGGCTGTCTCTCTCACCTTCATGAATGGAAGGGAGTCGGATTCATCAACTCATCAACCACCTTGCCAACCGCCACGGCCTTTTCCTCTCCAAATCGGCCCCCAACAATCTGGACACAGATAGGCATCCCATGAACAAGGTCGATATCATCTAATAAGAATTAAAATCAGCATCAGTCAACCCTCAAAAAGACAACAAACGAAAACAACAACTCACACTGCAAATAATTGAAAGCATCCGACTCATTCCTGACTGAATGTCCCTCCCACTCAGTATTACCTGCACTATCAACAGAATCAAGACCCCGATCCGCTCTCGCAACAGGAACAGTAACAGCCGCGTAGTCTAACAGATTCCACATAGCCGTATAGCCTAACCACTGCTTGCTCTTGACCCATGTCTTAGGCTTGTAGCCTACCCATGGGAGGACGGGCATGAGCAGGGCGTCTATTTCCGATGAAACCCATTGCTTCAGGAAGGCGGTTTGGAGGGTGAGTTTTGTTGCTTCAAACTGTTTAATGGTGTTAGATGGCTTTTGGGGTATTGGGCGAAGGCCAAGAGGCTATTATAGATGTTATTGTTTTGAGCTGTCTTATGACTTACCTGCTCTCGCTCCTCGTGTGAAAGAAGATCTGTCTCTTTGCCTACAACCATCCCTTCAATCAAGGGCTCGTCGACTATCTGACACAGCGATCGACAGTGTTGGCCGCCATCGGCGAGAATACCTTTTGTCCAGAGATTGGTGATGGCGATATGGAGGGAGGTGTCCCACTCGATTACTTTCGCAGGTTAGTATAACCATTTTTGACTGCAAGGAAAGTCAATATTCAAGATAACGAGGGGATGTATACCTTCATGATCAGCGGCTCTCAATGCATCCACCGTCTCACGCATTGCCCTCGCAACAGGCGGCTGCGGCTTAACAACGCCGTCATCAAAAACAACACCCAATCTCAACTTACGATTCGCCGGTGGTGTGGCGAGCTCTTTTCGCCATGGGATTGGAACTGCGCTTGGGTCTAGACTCCACGGACTGGACTCAATGAGACTCTCCATGAAGTACTCTGTTGTAGGGAGAGATGTAGCCATTGGACCAGCAACCGGTGGGACAAGGTAGTGCTGGTGTAAGCTATCGAGATATATCAGTATTGATCATAACTTCGGTACACAGACAAGGAAAATGAGTGGCTTACAAGGAGCAGTCCCACGGTACTCGCCCGGTCGTCGGACATATGGAATATAGACCCTGTAGATTTGAAGGTACTCGAATTGAGCCGCCTATGTCAGTACCAATTCCCAAGACGCTGCCTCCGGAGCCAACAAGGGCGCCTTCGCCGCCAGAGCTACCACCTGAGATCAGGGCATTGTTGAAGGCGTTTACGGATTGGCCGAAGACATGGTTGTATGAGTCGGACATCTAATCGAGTGGTTTAGTGGGTTTCGTCAAGAACGCATATAATCGAAGAGAGAGAGAGAGAGCTCACCATCAGAGATTGTGGCACATTAGTCTTAACATACAGCACTGCACCCATCGACTCGAGCACCTGCACGATTGAACTATTGGATTTGGCTGGTGTATTGGTCAGACCCACCCAACCTGTACAAATATTAGCAACAATCCAACACGACATTGACAACCTGGGACAGGAAAATAATCAGAAAACGCACCAACAGTCGTATCAAGCCCCTCAACATCAAACCGATCCTTCACGGAAACTGGAACACCATGCAACGGCCCAATAACCTCACCGGTAGATAGTAGATGATCATCAAGCTCCTTGGCGCGCTTAAGGGCCTTATCAAAGAAGATCTCGGTCAAGCACTTGGTAACCTGCTGTGCTATCGCAGCGCGTTTACAAAACGCCGTTGTTAGCGCCTCGCTCGTCACTCTCTGGGATTTGACTAGCTCGACGAGTTCGCGGATATCCGCTGTCTCGGTCCACGCTAGCTCGTCGACGGAGAGGATGCCACTTGCGCGGATGGTTTCTACGCTTGATGCTGGTGGGATTTCTAGGAGGATTTCTGGTAGGTGCCAAGCTGAGGGGATCAGGGTTAGCTGGGTCGCGCGCTTTTCGAGGACGCGGTTGTTCCAGGGTGGCTTGAGCTCTTGTGGTTCTAGTGGGAGTTTGTCGCCAGTCATAATGGATATGGTAGTTAAGAATAAACTATTGAACAAGCGGAGGTTGGGTTTAGAGATGGATATAAACCGAGATGTCAACTTGGAGCTTATCTTCCCTCATTTCGGCAATGGTGCCGTGAGGGGTCGGATGGAGATTAACCTTCACATCTGATAGGGACATCCCGACGTCTAAATCGAACCTTAGAAGCTAATCGAGAATATGCAAGTGGAGATATAGGGTGAATCTGGATGAGGTCGGTACTCTTTTCTTTTGAACGAGTGGGACTTGAAAGCCCAGATGATTTGACAGCTCACCTCGTGGAGGCATTCTTTCAAAATGACCCGTGCTACCCTCGTCCATCACAAAACCCTGAACCTGAAAAGGCTCCTGGTGTACGTTCAGCGAGTCATACCGTGATACAGCAGTGAGGTTACTGTCAGCCCCAGGAAAAGATCCGCGACTCGCGTTACTTCCGCAGAAGTTTCTTGATGCTTGTGTGTTGCGACCATCGGAAAATACAACTTAAGCTATCCACCCCGCTGCCATATGAACTGGACGGTAACAACTTGCTCTACCTGACCCATAACTATAGATCCAAAGCATTGTCTTCCAAAACCCAGGCCTAAAGAGATATTCAACTTGGTCCACGACAGCCATGCCATCCAAGGTTTCGATCGTCGCTGGCAACGCATGCAAGGGATGTGCTTCCACAAATTCACCAAGCTGCTAAAGCAGTACATCTACAGCTTCCTTCAAATAATTGTATCGAGTTGAGGCTCGGATGAGAGTATGACTGTTGTGTTGAAAGGGGTGCAGCGCATGATTATCTTGCTTGCTAGAAATTTGTTCAATAATCCAACCTTTCTATAACTAATGGAATCCAACCACGTACTATTATCAGATGGACCTCTCACACTTGACATCCAACTTGCTTTACTGGCATCATTTATTGCATTAAAGCGAGCCCGCTCTATTATATTTTACACATCACAGACTATGCCGAGATCCGAGTTGCAAGCCATTGAATTTGGTTAACAGATGAATTCTTTCATCTCAGTTTTGCCCGACACTTCCTTCTTCTTCTTCTTCTTCTTCTTCTCTCTAATATGAAAGTTGAGTGCCTTCCCGTTTGACTTGACCTTCATCATGTGACAGAGTTGCTCCTTCCTTGTTAGGGTTACCCAACTGCATAAATTCTCTCGTGCCTTTCTCCTCTCTCTTTTGTTGCTCTCCCCTCCAACACAGTCACAATGGAATTCACGTGAGTAAAGTGCATCCAGACTCTTATTCAAGGCCATCCGTTAATGAGGGAAATCCAAAGAACTACGAGAAAGCGTGCCAGGGTTAATGAACCTGAAGACGAGGATGATTACCACCCAAGGTACAGGCCGCCTCCCTTCTGTCCAGATTGTGGAACCAGATCGCATCCGGGAAACTGTCGTCCCCGTTGCCATCGCTGCGATAGAAGACATTTCGGAGTTTGCACGGCGTTCTGTAGGAAATGCGCGGACATCGGCCATTCGTGGCGACACTGTCGACTGCTCATCCCCAACCACATATGGCGCAAGGAACATTGTGGATTGCACACTACAATCCAAAATGTGAATATCACTGTGCCTGTGATTGACCCTGCGCCAACCTTTACACCAACATCTCTGAACGCAGCAATCCTCTCCCAGCTGGACATAGCCCTCCATGGGCTCCATCGCAAGGCAGGCGTTCCTAACCATTCACGTGTCATGCTGAACAATGTTAATATAACCACCAAAATCCTTGCTGCTGAGAGAAAAGCTCCTCTTGCTCCGGATACCTCGCTAATGGATAGAGTCCAACGCATTCCAACTGGACCACGATCAAACATTCCCAATACTCGACCCGTTCCTACGAAGCCCGCCTTCGCCCAGGCAGCATTTGCTCGTTGGGGCTTTTCCCAGCCTGTGTTTGGTCAAACTGCGTTTTCTCAGCCGACTTTTATACAAAACAACTCCGTCGGCATGACTCCAACTTGGCCCCGTCACAGCCAGCGTTCTGTGGATTCGAAATACTAAGCTGGTCGCTTGTACCAAAAAGAATTCAGTTGAACAGATTCGCATTAGGGAGGCTTATGAAAATGAGATATATCTCTACCGTTTTGTATTACCACCATTCTGTTACGTGTGCTTGAATGAATCGATATTTGATTTACTTTGCTAGCATAAGCTAATCACGTCAACTGCTTGTTTGGAGGTGACAAGGATTTCACTATCGCAACATCCATCGGCATCATCAATTAGAAGTTGCTAGTTAGCTTTTACCTCCTATCTGTCAACCTTGGGAATTCGTGCTTTTATCAAGGTCCGTCCAGTCAACCCTACTCTTCCAATATATTTTCCGTATCTGCAACCTTTGAAGTTCTGTTTGATTAAATTAATCACCATTTGTCCATCATTTAGGGTTGTGTATAACACCGCTTCAGGTAGCGATCGGCCCCTCCAGCTTTCACCCCCTCAACACCCTCATAAGCCCAACTCACGCTCGAAAAACATGTCATCTATCTCCATCAAACTCCCAAAAGTCCACGGTAGCCAAGGGGCCAATTCGGTCCCGCCAAACGACTTCATAATCGGGACATGGCACGTAACCTACTCCAGCCTCCCCCTATGGAAAGGCAAGCGCAACGTCAACATCACCTACAAGCTCCTCCCCGCAGATGCTGCCGGAGTACACAAGATAGATGACCTGGTACAATACCAGTCCATTGGCTCTGAGAAAATCAAATCCGTCCATGGCGTGGACACTCCAACGCCAGGTAATCCGGGCGCCTGGGATTGGCGCGGCAAAGGCTGGCTGATGATCGCGAGCTCGCACTGGGAATGTCTCGGGTTCGGTCATACCGATGATGGTAATCAGTGGGTTGTCACGTACTTTGATAAAACACTTTTCACGCCTGCTGGCATTGATGTCTACTCGAGGCACAAGGAGGGGCTACCTCAGACTACTGTCGATCAGATACTGGATGCTCTCAAGGGGCTTGAGCTCGATGATATTACCGACCTCGCTAATGGTGTCTTTCAGATTCCACAGAACTAGGTGCCGAAGCTAGAGGCTGGGGTGTTCTTCATGTGTTAGAGTCCGTTGAAAGCCGAGCGCGTAGTTTGTTGAGACCATGCCCGGGCGCGCGGCGGGGACAAAGCTTCGAGGACTTGACATCTCCAACTTCGAGTTGGGGATCGTCAAATTGGTCGAGTTGGTGTTGTCATGTTCACTATCGACCTTGAGGGAAGCCTAAACATCACTTTCTCTCGGTTCTGAGGCGTCTCACAATTTCTCCAAATTACTTGGCAGACAAACATCTGAAGATGGCGACAATGAGAATTACTCGCACGAGCGACCTTTTGCCACCAAGTCTGGAGTCTACTTTCCGATATCAAGTTTTGCATCTCATCTTCCGAGTCTAGAGGCCCACTGCTAGTGGGGGACTCTCCCATCCATCATAATCTACATGTGTAATTGCTCCGACGCATCCAGGGATCCTAATGGCTCACGAGAAGAGGACATATCAGCCTTGCTGCCAAGTGCCCAAACAGAAAATCCCGAATCAAAGCTGACAGGCTTCCTCAACATCTTCTTACCTGCGAAGTTGCGGTTTGTGGATATTTGCAACCGACAATATTGCTGATGCAACCGCTCTTCGATAACAGCAAACTTCTTGTATAACTCCAACAGCCCTCAGTAAATAGACCCCATGGCTTGGATTTGGGCATCTAGAAGTCGGAGCCACCTAAGTATTTCTCTAACGGCCACAGCTTTGATTGATCGAGTGCGAATTTTCCACTAACGCCTGGAATCCATCGAGTGATAAGGACTTGGGGGGGTGTGATGCGATGGGCATTCGCGATTTTGAATATCTTGTGCAGTTCGGAAAGTTTCTTAAACATCAGGTTGGGAGTTACCCCCAGTGAGCTTTTGTCGAGCTACATCATTATCTAAGAAAACGTGCTGCTGGAGCACCAATTACATCTTCATGTAAAGAAAGGAGCCCATATTATAAACAAAGCCGACAAGGCATGGTTAAATGATATTGACATAGATTTCTATCTACACAGTCATCAACATGCTAGCATTTTTATACCAGCTCAGCAGAGGATTCTCTCCATTCCGCGTCTCCGTATCTTCAATGTAAGCCCAACGGTGCACGAACTCCTCATGGCTCGTGACCTGCGTCAGCTTTCCAGTAACAGCACGATACATATCCTCGACGACATTGAAGTCTGTCGGGAAGAAGATATCGAAGTAGCCTTGGTGGACCTGCAAAAAAGAGATTAGCCATGTTCAAAGTTCACATCGAAGAGAATATCCACATACAAAAGGAGTCGTCACTGGCACCGTCTGCCGTTGATACCGAGTCTGCACGACCGGTGCGTTGATACCAGGCACGGCATCTGGCAGGGAACTGAAGTCACTGGAGACTAGACGGTGCGCTGGGAAGTACTGGTTCAGGACATCGAAGAACTGCATCAGGCGGGTGGGGATGTACTCTGGCAAGGAGTATTCCTTTTGGAAGGGCGCGGCGGAGCGGAGGCCGCGGAGGAGTGGTGGGCCTAGCGGACTCGGGAAAGGACGGCGAGCGGCGGCCTGGCGCACGCGCAGGAATCGAGCTGCGACGGGGTCTAGCTGGTTGTTGTAATACTCGTGGAACTCGCCGTCAGAATCGATCAGCACACCACCCTGCTGCGGCATTTCGGTGCCTTGCTTGTACCGGATGGTGTCATGGGAGAAGTTATCGAAAACCTCCAGAGCCAGGAAGAAACACGGGGAATGAACGTATGTGTCCCAGTCGAAGATTGATCGATTTACAATCTCGACCTTGTCCCGGTGTCCCTTGGCACTGAGCTTGTCGGTCAGATTCTTGTACTGTAGATCTGCGAGCGCGGGCGAGATCTCAATGATCTTGAACTTGGTGCGCTGATACACCTCATGATCGGTGTCACGGATAAAATCCAGAATGTTTAACATCATTGTGCCGTTTCCTGCACCCATTTCATAGATGATCAGGTCGTGGTAAGGGTATAGGGTCAGCTTGTAGTTTGACACCAAATACCGCGCAATCGTCTCGCCATAGTATGGTCGGAAGAGCTCTGTCGGTGTGTGCCATAGCTGCCGCGCGATATCTGGGTTCGTTGCATCAAGCTTGTCTTCGAACTCCGTGTACCGTTGACCAAGGAGTTTGTGGAACGCAGGCCCGTCTTCGATGTTGTTGAAATCGAATGGCTCTCCAGGGCTGAAAATTGTCGCGTGTTTGGAAAAATATCCGTAATGTGGGTTGTAGAGACTGTCTGGAGGCGAGATGTCAGAACTGGCCTCGTTTCATTTAGCCGCCGAACTCACCGTCGATGAACTCGCGCGTCAGCATCTTGACCTGTCGCGGCCGTTCACGGCGGTTACGTAGCTCCTTCGCTGTAACTGTTGGGTATGTCCTATACTCCTCATCGATATTCTTGGGGTAGTCGCCTCTTTTTGTCCAGAGCTGGATATCATCGTGCGCTTTGCGCTTGACATTGACAGGTGTACGCCGCGTCAGGAATGATCGGGATTGTGGTCGAGCAAGTACGGAAGGCGAGCGCCTTAGTGATCGACATGCTGGATGGCGGAAGAGCTGTCGGAACAGCTGGGTGAGGACTGGCGAGTCCATTGTGATTGCAGAGCTAAGCTCGAGGTTGTGCCAGGGAGAAGGACGGCGTTTCTGGATAACATTTTTGGCCTCAGGCAGGATACCACGTGCCTCAGGCAAAAGTCATCACCTTCAATTTCTTCGACACTTTGGTGACTACATGATCCTTCAAGTTGAACACAAGTTGAATCAAGTGAATTATTTAAATTGACTTTGCATATTCCCATTCGTGACCAAGTACAGGCTGACTGCTATCTTCCACCAAAAAAGCCCGATGGTCCGAGCTTCATATCTCCCGTCTATGCACCAAACCTCAACCTTCAAGACATAAACCGGCATTGGAAGATGCCAGATCATTCAGCGGCATACATAGGCACGGCCTTCGTGGCTGGCGTTTGCCTGGCACTCGCATATCAGGAACTCTCACGTCCCAGGCGCGAGGATAATGTGACAGAGCAAACACCTCCAACAAATGGCCTCATCGCCCGAGCTGGCCCACCCACTATTGTGGAAGGCATTGAAGGCTGCATTGGAAACACCCCTCTATTCCGAATCAAGTCACTATCAGATGAGACAGGATGTGAGATTCTAGGCAAGGCAGAGGTAAGTAGCTTCGGTACTTCGTATACCAACCACCTCAAAAAAAAAAAGAGCTAAGAATGCGCTAACAATGCCCGCAGTTTTTGAATGGCGCTGGCCAGAGTTCAAAAGACCGAGTCGCACTAAGCATGATTGAAATTGTATGCCAGAATACACAAAAACGAAAAAAAAATTACCTCCATTAGCCCAACATCACTGACACCAACCAGGCAGAAGAACAGGGTGTGCTGACACCCCATTCCGGCGACACAATCTACGAAGGAACGTCGGGATCAACCGGTATTTCACTAGCAACGCTAGCCCGGGCGAAGGGCTACTTAGCACACATGTACGGATACGCCACCCTCTCCTTCCCACCCAATAGCCAAAACCACTAATGCACATGCAACCCAGCTGCCTGCCGTCGGACCAGGCAATTGAAAAATCCAACTTGCTGCTGAAACTCGGGGCAATCGTCGACCGTGTTCCGCCAGCACCTATAGTGGAGAAAGCCAACTTCGTGAATCGTGCACGAGCACTGGCAAAAACGCACACGGCCTCATCGGGCATCTCCTCTGCGTCAGCGGATGAGCAATCCGATCTCCCCGCGGCAAACGAACGCATGACCCGTGGCCGAGGCTTTTTCGCGGACCAATTCGAGAATGAAGCTAATTGGCGCGCCCACTATGAAGGGACTGGCCCAGAGCTGTATGCGCAGTGTGGGGGCCGGATTGATGCGTTTGTAGCGGGCGCCGGCACTGGTGGGACCATTTCGGGCGTCGCGAGGTTCTTAAAGCCGTTGCTGCCTAGACTTACTGTTGTGTTGGCTGACCCGCAGGGGAGTGGGCTTTTTAATCGGGTGGTCTACGGGGTTATGTTTGATGTTAAGGAGAAGGAGGGGACGAGGCGGCGGAGGCAGGTTGATACTATTGTTGAAGGGATTGGGATTAACCGTGTCACGGCGAATTTCGAGGCTGGGAAGGAGATGATTGATGATGCGGTGCGTGTTACTGATGCACAGGCTTTGGCTATGGCTAGGTGGCTTGTTGAGAAGGATGGGATCTTTATTGGGAGTAGTAGTGCAGTAAATTGTGGGTTTATTAACACTCTGACTAGTGCATCTGATGCGTTTTACTAATGGGTGAATTATAGGTATCGCCGCTGTCAAGACAGCAAGGAAGCTTGGCCCTGGTCATCGGATAGTCACAGTACTTTCGGACTCTGGCTCACGGCATCTGTCTCGATTCTGGGCCAAGGCTGGAGACGTGGGTGGCGCTGTTGATACCAAGCTTGAGGATGTTATGAATGCACAGGACGAAGACTTTCAATAAATAGATTAATTGGATGTGGTATGGATGCCATGGTTTTGGATAGGCATGTGGATAGATTTATCGATCATCGATCACTGGCCCTCTATTAGTATATTTTATTGTACGCATTTAACATGTTCAGGTTATAAAAATGCCCAAGAAGCCATTGGGAGCAGACGCCTTACTGTCGGTTGTCCCGGTCACCTCTTGGATTTCGAGCTGCTCCAGTTCTTCCTGAGCAGTGCCTTCGGACGCAGCATCGCTATCTCCTGCCTCATCTTTGACATCCTCCACGACTGTATCAGATTCCGGCTCGTCCTTTATCTCGTCGTCCTGCGGATCTTCTTCTGAGTGCTTCTCTTCCGGCTCCGCGTGTTCCCCCACGCTCTCGATCACTGCGGAGGTAAAGCCCTCGCCAACGAAAGCACGGAGCAGCTCAAACTCAACCTCATGTCGTGATCGGCCCTTGAACCGACTTTGTATCTGGCCCCAGGTAAGATCCGATTGGGTGCTGAGTCGGGCCAAAGCTTCTAGTTCAGGCTGCAACCAGGCGGCGGACAGTGGAGGCGGATTGGTGAGGCGGCGGGTCCAGTGATTGTAGAACCAGTGCCAGACTGTCTGGTATTCGCGACCTGGTAACATGTACATCACGTCACTAGCCTTCTTTTCTTGTTTGTACATCATGCACACGATCAGCTTTGCTTCATCGGGTGTGATGGGTTGCCTTTTGCTTGGGGTGCTTTCCATGAGCTGCGGGGATGAGGATTGGATGCTGGCCATGGCCATGGCCTTGGGGGTCAAATCGCCTTCCTCCATAGAACGGAATGGCACTTCTTTTTCTCGATCACTTGGTTCGTAGGCCCCTTGGAATTGTTCTTCGGGCACTCCGTCTTCTTGGTGGCGCGGTTCGTAGTCCTTATCTCCAAGGCTTCCTTCAGACACTCCATCTATCTGGTTGCTCGATTCATGATCCCCTTCTTCGAGGCGTGCGTGGGGGACTTGATCGTCATGGTCACTTGGTTCATAGCCCGCTTCTTGACCATTGCCTTGGTCATCCACTTGGTCATCCACTTGGTCATCCACTTGGTCATCCACCTGATCGTCAACTTGACAATTAACTTTGATGACAACAGCTGGCTGTTTCGAAGGCGTAGATGACCCATCGTTCTCTTTAGTCGGAACGTAACGCTTCCCACGAATAATTTTCATTTTCGATGGTGTCGGCGATGGCTCATAATCCTGCAAAGGGTCATCGGACTCATTTCCATCTGGTACTGCCGCAAAAGACCAGTCGTGTGTAACAGGGCTAGAATGGTATTTTCGCTTCGCAGCTGGTCGACGCTTACTCGGCGTAGCCTTCGGTTTCTTTTCTGTGCGTGGTCTGCGGGGTTTGCGCACAGCCCATACTGAGCCACTCCCTGGCGGGGACGTGAGCCTGGCAGGTGGAGAGAAGCCCATGTTTGATTTGCGGGTTTCAGTGGTGGGCGTTGAAAAGGTTGGGGGCAAGTCTGGGACTGCCCAGATTGGATCTTGTGGTTTCGAAGTGAGGATCAGGTCGGTGGGATGGGAGGCATGTTCTTCCTTGGTTGTAGGACTGAGGCCTGCAGTCCCAGATGCTTTAAAAGTAAACACGAAATCCAAAGAGGTATCCATGTCTGTCTGTAGCTGTTTCGATGGTGATTCTTCGCGTGGAGCATCTGAAGAGCGACCGGGAGAGGATGCCATAGAAAAAAATTCATCCTCCTCTCCCTTCGTGTTGTTGTCATCGGCCGCATAAGGATCTTCTGGCTCATCCAGGTCAGCCTGCGGAAGCCATGATCGCGGCTGGTCGCCAGTATCGTGCTCGCCCTGCATCCCTAGGAGATGCCCATTGTCTACCACTATGTCCCCAGTCCGCAGATCAATCTCATCACCAACGTCGGAGAAGTCCTGGCTATATTTCGCGAAAATGCTTTCAAAGAGAGACTTCAGTCGGGAGTCATTTTGTGCACGCGCGGCTGGGAGATCAAACTCTGCGGGGACCTCTTCGTCGTCATCGGGGATATATGATAGACATGGTCTCTTCGCTGGTCGTTCCATATTATCCTGCATGGAGTGGTCCATGCTATCATCCGGGTCGTTCATGGTTGCGGATAAGAATCGATCGGCGCGTGCCTTAGAAGTGATCGAACGTTGCGCACGTAGTGAAATAACGCATAATTAGATTTAGCAACAATCTATTAATTGTCAAGGTAAAGTGTCAAGTGTGGTGTGTAGGCGCAAGCGCGAGCCAAATATGCGGCAAAGCAAAAACAAACTGAAATGACGTTCCCCTCAAAGCTCTCTGGGAGCTCCCCGACTTCCACTCCCCACACCTCCCCGGGATGAATTAACAACCATGTATTGCCAGAAATGTCGCACGCCGCTGAAGCTGGATGGCTCTGTAGAGTCACTCAACCCAGCTGCCTTTGACTTATTATCCAGTAGGTTTACACAAAGCGATCGTTTCCGGTCCCGCTAATCAAACTGCGGTCTAGACTCTACAGGAAAGGCGTCAGATACCGGAGCTGTTTCCTCGTCAGCGCGATCGTCCTATCCGCCCGAACACCGCGACAAGTATGACCAATCCTCTAGAAATGCTACGTCGCCAGTTTACAGACGGTCTATCCCCGCCCCGCGTGCAGGAGGCCAGCACCACCCGCCCGCAATACCCCGAACCGATAGCGGCAATATGTCATTCGTGATGCTCACTGAGTCTCAAGTTACGCCGCCACCGGTCAGTGAGAGTAACTCTGCTACCCGAGGCAAGCGAAATCCTACACAAGCCCAACTCCGGGGCCAGGAGGATAAGTCATTCGTTGATCAAGTGGAGAAGACGACACGGCTGTTTGAGATAGTCTCAGCGCGCTCCGATATCGACCATCCTATTTGCGTGGAATGCACTGAGCTACTTGTGGAAGGATTACAAAAACGCTTGGCAGGGTCTACAAAGGAGCGAGATGCATACATTTCATTTCTTCGAAACCTAAATAGGTCCATTCCGACCGAGGAGGAGCTGCAGGCGGCACAGAAATCGTTGGATGAGAGCCTAGAAGCGGAACGGGCCGCATTTGCAGAGCTGCAGGCATTTGAGAAAGAAAAGGCTACTCTAGATGCAGAGATCGCCAATTTGGAAATCGAATCGCAACGCCTGGATGCGGACGAGGAGAGCTTTTGGCGGTCTCGCAATGCGTTCGCCTTGACGCTCACTGAGTTTCAAAGCGAACGGGATGCGCTCAATATGCGGTATGATCATGACTCCCAGCAGCTTGAGAGGCTGCAACGGACGAATGTCTACAATGACGCGTTTTGCATTGGTCATGATGGATATTTCGGTACTATCAATGGACTACGGCTGGGCCGGCTAGCCAATCCTTCTGTTGACTGGCCTGAAATTAATGCTGCATGGGGACAAACAGCTCTACTTCTGGCCACGATGGCCGAGAAACTCGGGTTCCAATTCCAGGGGTATCGTCTCAAACCACTAGGGTCTAACTCGCGGATTGACAAGATTGAATATCCCATGCAGCCATCCGGTCAGCCGGTCGAGGGAGCTGCACCTAAAGTGACCCAACTAGACCTGTTTTCGTCCGGGGATCTCCCGCTGAACCTTCCTTGGCTCCACCGTCGCTTTGACTCGGGCATGGTGGGGTTCCTTGAGTGTCTCCGCCAGCTGGGGAAGTTTGTTGAAACGACGCCAGCACCAGTTATATCTCCCCGTCGCGGCCAGACTGGCGCCACCGCACCAGGGCTAAAGCTGCCCTACGAGATCAAGCGGGACCGTATTGGCGATGCCAGCATCAAGTTGGGCTTCAACCAGAACGATGAGACATGGACTCGAGCCTGCAAGTACACGCTCACTTGCTGCAAGTTTCTCCTTGCGCATGCCAGCAATCTCGCTAGCGCGGGGTCTAGCAACTCAGCTGCTGTCGCGGCTGCAGCTGTAGCAGCCGCCGACCAAGCCCGACAAACAACAGCCCCGAGGAATAAACCATGAAACACATCCCGGGAAATTTATTTTCCAAAACAGCAAAAGGTGAGGCTGCACAGGATTCCGATCCCGGTCATGTGGGCGCAAAATCGCGCAGATGGATGAAATTAAAGACCCGCACAGCGCATCACTTTCGTACTTTGTCGATAAGCTCCAAGCACACGATGTACATCGATGTACATTATAGGGGGGAGGGGGTGTGGCAATGACGTACCAGTGGGAAGTTTCAACCAAGGCTGAAGTCCCTTGTTTTATTGGCCTGTCACAACAGAACCGGAATGACGAGGGGGCCCAATCCCCTGACATATGTCGGCTGAGTGCAGGACTGGCGCGTGGGCCGGGAATAGACCTCCCCCCACTCTCAATAACTCCTTCATTATCAATGAGTGCGGGAGAGGGAAACTGCCTCCGATGTGCATTCGTACGCCCATTTCCAGTCTGCGCGCTACATCCTAGTACCTTGCATGCGATCCGAGCCGGTGAACGATGGTCTGTGGACCTATGAACGTGTCGACGGCAGATATCTCCGTATATAGGCGCCTCGAGTGGAGTGGCTCCACGCGGGATGGCCGTTGTGTTCCCTCCAAGGAAAACGCGGTTAATGGGGGGGTTTTAAGTGTTATATTGGTTTATGTATTTATATAAGATTTACAAAGTACACCCCGCACTTTTTACAACGATCATCTATATCCAAGGATTTTACGTATTTGGCTTGGATACCTGACATGGGAGTGGTATTTACGCCCTTTTTTTTTGCTTTTTCTATTTTTGATTTCCCTCTGATCATTCAACCCCCTTTCCTGCTCCGTACATGTACCTATTAAATATTGACTGTACTCTGGTACTTTCACTTCAACCAGATATAATCAAAGCTCCAAAGATACCACGTATCCCTCTCGGGGACCAGGATTCTTGCTCCCCGAAAGACAAAACCAAAAAAAAAAAAACCCTGTAGATCAATGCATCATCTTCAACCTATGATTCCCAGCTGACCAACACACTAGTTCCTGAGTTTTGCGCTGGGAGTTCTAGCCCTTGGGATATGGGCCACGCGTGCAGATGATAACGGGGGCATGTGCACCGTTGTATATGAGCGTAGGATCGAGTGGAGTCAACTAAACCTTGGTAAAACATGAAGATAAATCCACCGGGTACTATAAGTATACTCCGTACATGAACTCCATTGTACTACATACTATCCCCCGAGGGTATAGAAACGGAGATAATGTACTTTCGGGTAGAAAGTCCCCCGGAAAAAAAAAAAAAAGAAAAGAAAAGAAAAGGGAAGAGGTAGCACGGACCTTGCATCGTACGTTTTTCATAGGTCTCGGCCGGAGAAGGATATTAACTATAAATACAAAGGCACTAAAGGGAAATTGGTCTGACAGGGTAACCTTGTCTAGAGACCAAAGCGCATGGTATTTTGCCCCCCTTGAATGGGTCGGTTACTCTGTATGTTAACGGGTTTAACGGCTTTATGGTGACAGTTGAGATCTGGCACGTTATGGCAGGTGTCATATAGTACATATCTCGATCTCATATATATACCTCCCCAATTCAATACAAATATGACGTGGCTTATTGATCCATGGAACTGGGATTTTAGAGGGGATTTTTAGACTCGGACAAAGACCTGTCAGGGAAGATTCGGCCCGCTCCCGGTTTTTTTTTTTTGTACTGATCTGCAGGTTATTTGTCTTCAGTATCTGATTATTTGATGGTTACAGTATTATTAGAATAGAGTACTTTGTATAAGAGTGTAGTGTACTCCGTACGGAGTACTATATCCAGGGATACTATCTACTATCTATTATGTACCATCTCCCCCCCCCCCAAAAGGAAAGGCAGCGGAAAATGCATCCAATTTGCGGCCAGTGCACTGCATGTAATAGTTCGCTTAGGCTGTAAAGGTCAAAAGTACCTTCTCCACTCGAATGATTTAATATAAATATAAATATAAATATAATATATCAAATGTGAAATATAAAAATATTAAATTTTGAATTAAAAAAAGCAAATACAAATACAAAACGCAAAATATATAATGCATAATACAAAAACAAAATGTAGAATACAAAAAGCAAAATACAAAATACAAAATACAAAAGACACAAAGAATCCTATATTCCGACTCCTACCACAAAAAGACCAAAGACCGGAGATATTCTCCCTAGACCCAAGTTTGTCTCTGGTAGCTGGTCCTGGTCAAGGCTGAGGCAATGGATCCCCCCCAGTCAAATCTGATTTGTCCGGGGAAGCAGGGGGTCGTGCGTCCGCGTGCACGTCGCCGCAAAGAGACCAGATTCCCTTGGCCCCCCTCATCTCTTGCCTCTTTGCTATTTTTCTTTTCTTTTTTTTTATTGTTGTTTTTCTTTTTTTGATTTTGATTTTGATTTTAATTTCTAGAACATATTAATGATTTGCATTCCTTAACCGAATTTATTATGGACTCTGTTTTGCATAATAATCCCATGAGACCAGTATGATATAGAGATCCCAACTCTATCTCTCTCTTATATCTTCTATAATCATGGAGAATACTTACGCAACTCCCATCTCCCCTCAATCGCCTAACGTCTTTCGACCCCGCCGATCCGATGACTGGCATGAATACCGTGAAATCATCGAGCAACTCTACCGCAATGATCAGTTGAAACTACGCGATGTCAAACGCATCATGGAAAGAGATTATAAGTTCTTTGCATCGTACTACTATCCTTTTCTTTTTCTTTATCGTCCCCCTACTTGGATATCACCTTTGAATATGCTTGCGTATTCATCTCATATAGATCCCCCCTCCTTGATCGCAGTATCACCTAACTCCAGTCCATTAGAGAAAAGCAATACAAAGATCGTCTGGCAGCATGGCATGTTCGAAAGAACATCAAGGCCAAAGAAGTCCATCTCATGCTTCGCAAGCAACAGAAACGCGCCGCCCAAGGCAAACAGACAGCATTCCGGGTAAACGGCCAGAACGTCGATCCAAAACGTATCGCCCGTTTCGTGCGTCGCTATGGAACATCATGGGATACCAACCGAGGCAAAGAGCCAGAGACGGAGACACAAAGCCCAGAACCTCGTGAGTTGACATCGACATCCCGAATTGATATAGACCATTCATAGATGTCTTGGCTATATCAGATACCGAACTCACAAGGTACACATACTAACAATTCCATAGAAACACCATCCGACATGACCTGCTACACACCAGAACCAACAGACGAACACAGCGTCACAACGCCCATTTCACCACTCCCCGACATGCAATCGCCAACCCGAGAGATGCCCCCTTACCCACTCGGCTCATACGGTAAATCCACGGCCGTTCCGGTGAGTGTGAGTGTACCGAATGATATTGATGGAAGATATCTCGCTCTAGACCCAAACCACCTCGAAAGCCTGCCCGATCTGGAACTGGAAGAAACACCGCCCATGCCGATGTCTATGCACCAACCCCAGCCTCAGCCACGCCACATCCAGTCCTACCACCATTCAATAGGCAACCATCTCTCCCATGGTGCACATGGGTCTCACGGGTCTCACGCATCGCATGCTGTACACGGTTCTCATGGATCGCATGGATCACATGTTGTGCACAACGCTCATAATGCTCATTCTTCGCACGGTTCTCACGTGCATGGTCATCCTGGACCGGCACCAAGGGATCTAGAGGATGCACCGAGTGAAGTGGATACCCATCCGCCGGACTGGAATACGGTTGAGTCGTTCCAGACGAGGTTGCAGGATTTGGACTTCACGCTTACGCAGTCGATGTCGAAGTGGGCTAGGGATCAGGATCCTAACCATGAGCCTCCTCACCATGAGGGCTTGGGGATGTGATTTTTGATGGTTTTGGTTTTGATTTGAAATTCCTTTTTTTTTACTGCTGCATTCGCCATTTGCTTTCTATCTATGTCTTGATTTCCCTTCTCTTTCCCCATCAGCGTGTGAGCCCGTTTTCTTTCTGTCTTCTTGTCTTTTCTCTATGTATATGGTTCCCGTGCTCTGTTCCCATTATCCCCCTTCCAAACATAGCCCAGGGGAGGAAGATTCATAGCAAGGGCGTTCTTATTATGGCTTCTCCGTGTTTTAGATTGGTGATCTATGCATTATGGCATCTGAGTTTCTGTATATCCTTTGTGCTGGCTATCAAGTATGGGTAGCACGAGAAGGGGGGCACGTCTCAGCTCAACAATACCTATCTATCCGCTCGACCGACATTATCCTCCCCTCTCGAATCAACCCCGGCCCCCGTCCCAGTCTCAGCTTTGTCTCACCCGACACGACATTTCCTCGAAGATACAAGACACAACCCTGGAAACTACTGTGCTGCAACTCTTGTCTCGAATCGCTGCCCAACACTTCTACCACACAACCCCGGCCATGTCGCGGACTTCCCCCGCCAATTCACCGTTCGCTCCTACGATCATACTTGACTTCACCCTAGACAAACTCAACTGTGTCCCAGCCCTACGACCTCTCCAGGATTCCCCATGCACAGCATATTCCAGATGGACACGACCAAACCCCTGCCACGTTGAAATGAAGTATCTCAAACAGCCAGTTCCTCGTGAGACTTATCGTAACACATTCTAGTCTATCCATAATCGCTGCATATATAGTCCCTACCAGCAAACCCAGATCACCCAACTGGATAACATATATATGCAGGTAGCGATACGTGACACAACTCGGACAGAAGGAAACATGGAAAACGTAGTGCAAAAGCATCGAAACGAATTGATGAACTGTTATCTTCACTCCAAAAGGCAAAACCAGATCCATCTAAGCGTTTAAGCAGGTGTTACTCCATACTCAGTAGCTACACCGAAAGTACCATGATAACAGTGCCAGCCTAAACTCAATATAATTCCAAGTCCCAAATCCAACGGTGAATTAGTATGTAGAACGCATGGAGTACAACACAGCAAAAAGGCAACAACCATCGACCCCTTACTCCGATCTCCATTACCCCAGTACATGTACATATACCTACATCAACA